AGCCCTGTCCCCCTCACTGGGAATCCTCCACAAGGGCCATTGCTCAGTGCTGAACCCTAGTAATGCCGCCGAGTTCTCCCATTCCTGAGGGTGCATGTCCATTTGGACCCGGGCAACGGACAGGGAGGCAGAGAGCCCAGCCTCTGAGAGCCCTGCACACTCGCACTGGACTTGGCCTTGCCCCCTTGGTTGCCCTGGTGACCGTCCCCACGGGCTCCCACTGGAGAGACTTCCTGGCAGGGCAGCCTCCCACCGGGAAGCCCGTCTTAGCACTGAGAGAAGCCAGAAAATAGGATACTGAGAAATCAACTGCTCATTGGTCAGGGTGCCCAGTCTGGCCAGCGATACTCAGAGAGCAGGCTGCAGCCACCCTGAGGCCATCCTGGCGGAAGTGAAGTCCTACTTCGCCCCCATCCTGGCCTCGCATCTCCTGGGCGCCCACCGTGGTCGATCACACAATCCTGCGTGGGGGTCGTGGCAGACCCTGCTGTGCACACTGCCCCCTCAGCCCCAACCTGGTCGCTCCTCTGTGTATGCTGTGACGGCAACACCCCGTACCACTGAGTGTGCGTGTGAAGGGCTGCATGTGAGGGGGTGTACATGAAGGTGGGCATGTGGGGTGTTTGCATGTGAGGGGGTGTGCGTGGGGGTGTGCATATGGCAATGTGTGCTTGGAATCATGCCATGGTGTGCATGTGTGAGAGTATTAGCACTTTTGTGTGCATTGAAAACCTGCCCTTGTGCCCATGTCTGCCAGTATGTCTTGGTTGTGAGAATGCGCATCTGTGTGAATGTGTGTGCTGTGTGAGTGTGTGCTTATACACATGCCTGCGAGGGTGACTCTGTGCACTTGTGTGCGGGTGAGTGTGTGCATATGTCAGGAAGCGTTAGCTCTCATAACTGGGAGCATGAGTACATGCACTTGTGTGCACCTGTGTGCTCGTCAGTGTGTGTGCATGTGTCAGTTGTGACCAATACTCATGCCCATGCGTGCATATATGTGAGCATAAGTGTGCATGGCTGAGTGTGTGCATTTGTGAGTGTATGCCTGTACCAAGGCCTATTAGTGTGTCCTTGGGTGTAAGAGTGTATTCACCTGTGTGCTTATCTATACTCGCACTTGTGTGTCTGTGTGTGTGAGAGTGGGCACCTGTGTCTGTAAAACTGTTATTGTGTTCTTGTACCCAAGTCTATGTGGGTGCATCTCTGTGTGAGAGTGTGAACCAATGTGTGTACGTGTGTGATTCTACTCAGGCCTTGTGGGTGCATCTCACAGTGGAGTGTGCCCTGTGTCTGATGTGGGTGAGTGTGTGCTTGTACTCACATGTGTGAGTGTGCATCTGGGTGTGAGAGTGTCCTAGGTTTGGAGGGATCCCTGAAACCAGGGTGGCAGAGACAAGGGCTGAGAGGGGAGGAACCCTTTGTCGTGGAATGAACATCGTGTCCCCAAATGTGCGAGCTTGTGTGACGCTGGTTCTCAGTCGTCTGACAGCTATGCAGTGGGTCCCCATCGCCCATGATGTGAGCAGCAGTGAGCAGCCCTGATCTCACGGAAGGACACTCAGGGGGAAGCAGGACCCTGACTCAGGCCACAGCCCTGATGCTCTGTGAGGTTCCTGCATCCCCTTGAATCCTATGAGGGCGTGGAGGAGAGGGGGTGAAGAGGGGGAGGGCCCTGTTACCCCCAAGAAAGAAGAGCTGGAAGCCGAGTGTGTTCTTTGGGCTCAGGGCCCCTGTGCTGAGAACCTCCTAGACCAGTGGTTCTCAACCTGTGGGTCGTGACCCCTTTGGGGGTGGAACAACCCTTTCACATGGGTCCCCTAAATTCATCAGAAAACACATGTCTCTCAGGGTTTGGGGTCACCACAGCATGAGGAACGGTATTACATGGTCATGGCATTAGCAAGGTTGGGTACCACTGTCCTAGACCCGGGGCAGCAGTGACGCCACTGTCGGAGAGAGAAAGCCCCCTGGGGCAGCAGCTCCTGCACTGGGAGAGAAGGAAGCTCTGTGTGAAGGCCACCGCCTGAGTTCCTCCTGCTGCCCCAGCCCCCAGGGACTAAAGCACACAGGCAGGGCATTATGGGCAACTCTGGGGGACCCCAGAGGGACAGCGGCATGCATCCTCCAGCTCCCACCCATGGGAGCCCTCCCCCTTGGGGCTGTGGCTGTGGGGATGAGCAGTCACTCCAGCTAGTGTGAGTTCACGCAGAATGTACACTGTGCATGAGGGTGTCTCCAGAATCCAGATGGCCGCAGGGCCAGGACAGGGTGCCAGGAGGCAGCTGCAGAAGGAGGAAGGTGCCCAGCAAGGGAGGCTTCCTGCTCGGGGTCCCCTGGGAGCCCACCTCATAAAGACCGGGGAGCACCACGTCCACGCACATCTTCAGACCTATCCCTCCCCCTGCCTGCCACCTGCACCCCTTGACACACTTGGGGGTTCACATGCAGGCAGAGGCAGACTTTGGATGTCAGGTCACAGGGCCTCTGGCCAGCCTGTCCAGCCACACCCTACAGGGCCACAGAAAGCCACACAGGAAACACCCCCTCCTGACAGACCCCTTCCTGTTTGCCACATAGGAGGAGGGGGAAGGAGCTGCAAAGGGAAAGTGAAAGTCCCAAGGGTCCAGCTCAAGCCTCAGCTGCCCCCAGCTGCTCACACCCAGTGGACGCATCCAGCAGTTTTCCTGGGCCCTAACCCTATGACCACCCACCATAGTCACCCCCGAGCCCTCCCAGGATTCGGGACCAGGCAGAGGGCCCCCTGCTTCTCAGAGTCTGAAGCTCACACCCTGCTGTTCGCCAACAAGTGTGTGGACACAGTGAAGACACGGCAGGACGACGCCATCAGAAACAAGTCCTCCCTGGTCATGGCGCCACCGCTGCCAGGTGGGGCCTCAGATGCCACAGGGACCCCATGGAGGGCCATTTGGCTCAGAGCCTTTGTCTTGGGGGTGTGGTGAGCTGGGGCAATACGTGACCTAGGATTCACATCTGGCTGATCTCTTATCTGGGGAGGATTTGCGAGATGGTTCTAGCATTTGGAAAGAGGATTCACACACTGAGTCCGATCTGCTCTTACTGTCCCATAAGGTTGGTTTAGAGGTCCAAAGGAAACACAGAGGATTTATATCCTTAGTCCAAGCTCGTAACCTCCATAGGCCTCCTTCTAACCTAACCCTAACCCCAATCCTAACCTTCTAACCTAACTGTAACCCTAACCTGAACCTGAATCCTATTCATAACAGTAACCCTTAAACCTAACGTTTGAACTGAAATCAAAACCCTAACCTAAATTCCTAAATCTAACCCTTACCCTAAATTCCTAACCATAACCTAAATTCATAAACCTGATCCTAAACCTAACTCAAACCCTAACCCTCTATCCCTAAATCTAACCATGATCCTAGCCCTCAAAAGTAACTCTACCCTAAACCTAACCCTAAATTCCTAACCTAACCAAAATCCCTAACCTAACCCCAAATTCCTAACCCTAATCTAATCCCCTAACACTAACCCTAAACTCTGAGTCCTAACCCTAGCCCCAATTTTAACCCTAATCCAAATCCAAATGCCCTAATACTAGCCCCAACTCCAATCCTGTCCTAAACCGGAATCCTAGCCCACTAAACCTAACCCTAATCTTTACCCTAAACAAACCCCCCTAACTCTAATCATAACCATAACCCCAGCCCCAGGCCCAGCCTCAGCCCTAATCCTGACCCTGGCCTGCCACAGCACAACTTGGCATCTGTTCACTTTCAGTTCTCAGGGCAGGCCATTTCCAGGAAAAGCACTGCTACAGGCTCCGCCCTTCCTGCCACAGCCCTCAGAGTCTGAAACCTAACAAAAACCTCCCTAACCCTGACCTTGACCCTAACCCTAATTTTAACCCTATCAATAACCTGAACCAGAAACCTAATTTAATGTAACCTAACTCCCTAACCCTAACCCTCAAGCAACCCTAGCCCCAGCCCAGCCGCATCCCCAGCCCTACCCCTACCCCTGACCTGCCACAGTGCAGCTAGTCTTCTGTTAGTTTCATTTCTCAGGGCAGACCATTTCCCGGAAATAGCCCCTCCCAGGATGAACCTGGGCTTCCCAGCTGGGGTCCATGGAGTGGTCCTGCTACAGGGTCAGCGGTGTGAGACCTTTGGATCCTGACTCCCCTGTTAGGGCTTCCTCTCCCCCTGGAAGCTGGGGGACAGTACCCTCCCTTCCACCCCCAGGATCCAGGAGGAGACCCAGTGTTAGAGGGTCTCCACAGTGTGGGGGCGCCGCAAGTCCCCTGCTGTTAGGTCAGCCTGACCAGTGCCTGGAGGGCAGGGCCCACCGGGGGTCCAGTGTCTGGGAGCAGCCTGGTGGTGACCATGTCACCCCTTCCCCTGCCCCCGCAGTGTGAACATGGAGGACGATGGGGAGACCTTCACCCCACTGGGGGCTGGCCAGGAGGACAAAGCACAGACGGTGGGGACGTCCTGGGTGCTGACAATCAGGGTCCACGCTGTGCATGGCAGCCTGGGATGAAATCTTGACAGTCTCTTAAGCCCCAGCCCCGCCTTTTGC